CCGTAAACTCCCCAAAACCCCTCAAATGTTGGTTTTAATCACCCAAAATAGCATCAAACTTCATAAGAAAATTCTAGGAAGGCAATAGGGGCTTAAAACTTCACTAAACTCAAAGGTTGAGAGTTTACGGCCGTAAACTCCCTTGGGAGAGTTCCTAGGCCGTAAACTCTTGTTTAGTACCCTTAGAGGCCTCAAATCCACTCATGCCCTTTAGGAAAAATGCTTAGAATAATTCAATGAACAAGCTAGAAGCATCAAACACCCAAGAATAGAACCTTGGGAGTTTACGGCCGTAAACTCCCTTAGGTTGGGCCGTAAACTCCTTTTTGGTCCATGTTGGTGTTTTAAATCCATTTACACACTTGATATGTGAGTATAGCAAAGTCCCACAACTGATAAGAGACCCTTAGCACCCGTAAACGTTACCCGGGACCCCAAACACTCAACCAAAAGTGTTTTCCACTCCTTTGAGTGTGTATAATTGTTTAATTAGTATATTATATGCTAATTGTATGTGAACATATGTTATCATATGTTAAAATAGGTCCTTGTGTGTGTTCAAGTCCTTGCGTGACCCCGAACGCCCAATCGGCACTTTCGTCGGACCTACTTACACCAGGTGAGTTCATACCCCTGAATGAACCTTTTAAATGCTTTTAAATGTTTTATAGGGGGGAATACAAGTTAAACATGCCAGTTATCATGTCAATCGCATATGATTGATAACCCGCATGCACAAGATTTTACCACTTTTACACTGTTTTACCGAGTGGGACACTAAAATGACTTTTACCTGTTTCATAACTTTTACTTATACTGATTTATTCAAATTCATCCTAAATTGGTTTATGAAAGATCCTCTAAGGTTTTAAACGTATTTTACAAAGGAATAAATTTGTGATTTTCTCTGTACATAAAGGCTTTTCATTAAAGATTTCCCTTTTTGACGTATACTTTTACTTGTTAAACACTGCTGCTTCACTTATACTTATTTTATACTCTGACTCGGTAACACTTTCACTTATACCTATAGTCGCTTATACTTGATGACGCTTATACTTATTCACGCTCTTACTTAGTGATACGATTTCTCCTTCACTTATACTGGATAACGACTTTACTCCACTTATACTTGATAGACGTTCTTACATCACTTATTGTCGTCTCTGCTTCGTGATACACTTATACTTGGTAGCTTATACTTCATGGTTCGATTATCCCACACTGTACACGTATACTTCACGACTCAGATGTTCCACTGTCTCTTATACTTCACGACTCAGATGTTCCACTGTACTCTTATACTTCACGACTCAGATGTTCCACTGTACTCTTATATACTCACGACTCAGATGTTCCACTGTACACTTATACTTCACGACTCAGATGTTCCACTGTACACTTATACTTCACCGTATGATACACACTCAAGCGTAGTTAGATGTATGTTTATGCTTGTATAGATGTATATAAATAATGATTGAAGGACTTAGGAAGGCTTGTCCACCCTATTTCCTTTTCTTCGTTGAGATGTGGTCTGGTGGGATCGGATGTCCATCTGAAGGTCGTTCGATTCATTAGTTATATATTACGTATACGAGCATAGACATACGAGTTTTCTTCAGTCAATTCAGTTAAGAGTCTATACCTCTAGTCTACACTTACATAACAAACCCACTCCCTCCTAGTAACACACTATACTCTATTTAGGATGCATCTTCGGGACGCGGCCTTCTCCGTCGTCTAGTTGGTAACCAGAGTCTCCTGTAGGGAGAGCGGACATTGTGTGTATAGGCCTATACGGGATTGACAACCCCGCACCCTGACTGCTAGCTACAGTCCACGGCCTACCAAGCCAAGGGGTGACAAATGTCACATTATATAGATGCTTGTAGGGCATCTAGTACTCTAGTCAGTATGGTTACGAGTATCCTGGGTTGCCTTATAATTCATGGCTTTAAGGTAACAATATTTCGTCAGCGATTTACACTGTATGCTGATGTCACCTTTTTCAGAGTCACACTGTTTTGACCTTGCTAGATGTATCTTCATTTGATACCGTCTGGGGTCTGTTATCTCTGTTTGACCTTACAAGATGTATCTTTCATTTGATACCGTCTGGGGTCTGTTATCTCTGTTTGACCTTACAAGATGTATCTTCATTTGATACCGTCTGGGGTCTGTTATCTCTGTTTGACCTTACAAGATGTATCTTTCATTTGATACCGTCTGGGGTCTGTTATCTCTGTTTGACCTTACAAGATGTATCTTTCATTTGATACCGTCTGGGGTCTGTTATCTCTGTTTGACCTTACAAGATGTATCTTTCATTTGATACCGTCTGGGGTCTGTTATCACTGTTTGACCTTGCAAGATGTACCTTCCATTTGGTATCGTCTTCGGTCTGCGTTCACTGTTTTAGACCTTACCAGTTGTACCTTTCATTTGGTACCTTTGGGGGTCTGTTTCTCCATTTGTTAGACTAAACCAGGCGTGTCGTTAGTTCGATACTTTCCTGGAGTCTATGACTCTTTTGCCTTAGTCAGCAGTCCTCACTGCTGAGGCATATATTATTCCCTGATGCCTCTGCTTTCTTTAATAATCAAATTCAGTATTTTGATATTATTAGCAATTAAGGGAAACTTCTTCTTACCACATTACGCTGACCAGTCTTGGTAGAAGGCTGCTTTTGTTAAAGAAAATATAGGATTTTCTGGAAGGAACTCTAATACACTGAAATCTCTTAAACTATCACTTTATTAAGTTATTTGAATGAAATGTCACTAAATGCTTATGAACTCACCAGCATTTGTAAAAATGCTGATACTCGCTTTTCAAATAACTTGTATTCTCAGGTTAGCATTAGACAGGTACATCCCCGGAGCTGTTGATGAAGATAGCTTTGTACCATGCTGTATTTATTCTATTACTTGTATTACTTTAATTTTTTTGTAATGTAACCTTGTAAAACTATTACTATTAATGCAATGTTTTGTTGTACTTTGATTACTATAATGCATGTGTTGTGATACTTGACATGACGTCATCCACCCCAGAACGTTTCCGCCGTTCCGGTTTTGGGGTGTGACAGATTGGTATCAGAGCATTGTTTATAGTGAGCTAAGTATATCAATTCATAAAAGATATACAACCTATAAATACAAAAGGGATAAAACACTCTGACCAAGAATTATACTTTAAATTATAACCATATTTTACCAAAGTATAATAACATCCGAAAATCTAAACACTCGAACACAAGTATCACAAGAAGAACAAGAATAAAAGTCTTTGGATGTTGAGCACTACAGACAAATCTGGGCAGTTATGTAATCGTACGCTGGAATAAATGTAACCTGATCAACTACCTTTATTCGAGATGCGATGAACGTGTGCTCAGGAGTGATTGTGGTGTGCAACAGGTCTAAAACTTACCAACTAGGATTTGTTAGAGCCAAACATAAAGTTAAAATACTATAAAGAGTATTTTAGAGCGCTAAAAGATTCACACTAATCCCAGAATGACATTCAGAAGATGAGAAAACAAACAAGAATTAAAATACCATAGGGGTATTTAGGATACATAGATAACCTGGCGTGAGAATTAAAAGATCCTCATTGATATACCTACAACTACAGAGGGTATACTTCCAAGGTTATATATAATAAGGATCCCATAGGCTAAGAATGTGTGGTTTCGCTCTATTTCCTTTTCCTCGTTGGGATGTGGTTCTAGAGTAGTATCACATATTCGAAGGCCTATCGGATCTAAGCTATATATGATTTGTATACCCTGTGTAATCGTAGCAGGACTCGATGTGGATCATCCAGCGAACTGTTAATAATCTATTAGGATTCTTTAGACATTTCCATTCTCGCACGAACCCTGTAGAAAACCCTACCCACTTCAGTGCATAACATAAGAGTTGATTCCGACCCCGAAGAAGTTCATTCAGAAGATTTCTGTTCGGAAATAAGTGAACTGGGTCGAGACTATTGAAAGCACCAAGTGCCCATATTCTTTTAGGGACTTCGGTGGGAAATTCGCCTAAACTTCGGAGATTCCCGGTCATCCATCATGAAGTGATGACACCCATAATCGGAGTCAGAAGGAAGGCGGAGTGATGACTACATTTACATTTCCAATCAAATGATTTATCGTATCATGGATTCTAGACAAGTCTACAAACGAGTGGAATCACAAGTGCTATGATTTTTGAGTTTACTTAGCTTTAAGATCGAACTCATGGGATAAGATAAAACATCAATATGTACAATATTATGGTGATGTGTCTACAAAAATAGCATGATATTGTACATATTGATGTTTTATCTTATCCCATGAGTTCGATCTTAAAGCTAAGTAAACTCAAAAATCATAGCACTTGTGATTCCACTCGTTTGTAGACTTGTCTAGAATCCATGATACGATAAATCATTTGATTGCAAATGTAAATGTAGTCATGAAATGCGCCTACTTATTCAAGATTCCCCTAATAAATATTCAAGTGTATTACAAAGTTGTACATGTATGAATATTGTCCTTTCGTAGGTTATGTTTTGAAGAGAAGCAAGAATGAATCTCATAAAGTCATTAATATTAGTAGGAGATGATGTGAGATTTGTTGTAAATGAGTAAAGAGAAAATGAATCAGGAGGGTAACCAACTGTTGCGTTTGTTCTCATTTGGTCCCTTTCCTTTTTTTTGTACTCAATATACCATCGAACTTGTTGTTTGTGTTCACCATAACCCTTTGACCGGCTATCACAGGTCAAAAGCCGGTCAAAAGGGCTATGGTAAACACTAACAACAAGTTCAATGGTATACTGAATACAAAAAAAAAAAAGAAAAGGGACCAAATGAGTACAAACGCAAAAGTTAATTACCCTCAAGAGTCATTTTCCCTAAAATTATAAACAAGTTATACTATGGCTGACCTATAAACAAAAAAAAGTATATTGGCCATATCAATAAAAGAAGCAAATTGCATTGCTAAAAAGGGACATTTTTACACTGATTTTGGTCGAATGCTAGTTACACTTTGTTTTCTCTTGGGTTTTGTTCTACCAAACAAACTAAATCTTCTAAACACTTTAAGCAACCTACTAGCATACTTCCTTTGTGAAGCAAAATTCACTGTACCTATACAATTAGTCACTTGACCAATTGGGGTTCTCCTTTTATTCATTGTTCTTCCCTCTAACTCGCCTTTTGTTGAAACTTGTCCATCTTTCTTGGACGTGTTTTGTAATTGAAGGGTTCTTTTCAATGTCATCAATTGTTGTTCAAGTGATTGAATTCTGAAACTTGTAGACTCATATTCTGTCTTGTGTAACTCGGGTTGTTGAGATGATAAATCTTTTTGTATCAAAAAACTTAGTGGTTTGTTTCTCGTGTCTTGTAAATCACATGGACTCTCTACAAGATTTTGGCTTTTCGAGTGTGCATATCTTGAGCTTGTGAGACTTCCTGAAAAGTCTCCATTGTGTGTGTATCGAAAGGAGTCTGAACATTCTTTTAAGGCTTTGTGTGTGTTTAGTTGTTGAATGAAAAGTGCTTGGACTATCAACCGTAGAGGCATTAATTCGTTTTGGACGGCTTCGACACAAACTTCTTGTGATAGTTTTTGACAGTTGAGGTATCTACATACTGTACTCTTTTCGTCCTGTGACAATTCGGGATGCATCTGCATCAAGAAAAAGAAAAAAAATTATCTATACGTATATTTTTGTATATAATAATAAAAAAATCAAGTAATCTATTTCTAAAAATATTTATTTTCATGTAAGATGTAAATCAAATATGACAATAGTATGGTAAGATCATGTGCACTCAATTCACTATTTTTCTTTTGCACCAAGATGATCTAACCAATTACATCATTTTAATAGCCAAAAGAAATATGTAAGATATATTTTTATCACTTATATATTTTTTTATAAATATATTTATCTTAATCAGCTTTTTATAAATTTAGCAAAGATCTTTTTTATTATAATAAATTACAAATTATATTATTCGACAATCATAACCAAATTAAATTACTTGTATATATGTAAATTATTGTTTTATTTAAATATTATTGAGTAATAAATTATTTAAACGTATTAACATTCCAAATAAGTTTGAAACATAAAAACTAAATTTAGTATATATATATCATAAATTAATATCAAATTAAGTTATAATACATTATCACACGCAACAAATGTTAGCAATTATACCAATAACAAACTAAAAATATATAGAATTCAATGTTATTGAACTAAATTGTATAAAATGAAGTTTAACATCAAATTTGATATAAATTAATATTATAACATAGTGTTTTATATATAGTGTTTTACTATACACCTTGAGGTCAAATTCAAAAAAATTATGATACCAAAAGTGAAAGTAAAGAAAGTTACCTGTAGAAAAATATCCAAAGCTCTATAAAGATGATCATGGTTTTGTCTACACGATATGGGTACAATTTCAATGAGCTCCATAAATCTTTTCAACTCCATTTTCATGTCACTAGCTACACGAATAAGATATGAGTCCCATAATTCCGCAACAACAAAATTATAAGGTGAAGGACTATTATTTCCACACATGTTAAACAAAGCATAAGTCGAAAATATATTCTCTATTATCTCCATCTCAATGCCACCTGTCCCACTTTCCGTTTCAAGAAAATCTTGAACTTGCGCCATATGTAACACCCCAGAAATCTGATTTTGTAACTTTAGAGTATACTCCTTGTCTAAATCAAGTGTCAACGATTTAGATAGCAAAATGAAATAAAACCCAATTGGAATTACCTTACTACCCTTTTCACCCATATTAAGCAAATCAAGAATCCCTTTTAGCAACATAGCTATATCTTCTTTCCTTCCATTTTCATCAGAAAGTATAGAGTTCGCATAGAATAATACAATCGGTGTAACGTATTTTTCTTTCATCCCTTGTCTTCTTAAAGACGCGATTACCCTTTTGAAATACCCAAACGGAAGGGCGATAAGGTCTTTTATCCACACATCTTGGCTCAAGACCTCTTGAACCATTTCATCACTCCATTTTTGAAAGCTTAAAGCTTCTAAAGTCACAACGGGTTGATCTCTTCTTCTTTCTGGATCAAGAATCTCCATGCAAGCCATGAAAGCTAAAGATTCAATGCATCGACTCACAATCAAAAGCTCTTCAGCCCATGGGACAAGATTTTGACATTGTTGTAGGACAATTAATGTGTCTTCCCAACTTTGTAATACTACTTGGTTTAAATATATATCAAAACGTTCACATAAGTTGCCTGAAGTGTATTCTTCTGTCATTTCTAGATATTCGGATGCACATCTTAATGCTGCAACATTAAAAGGGTCGACTAATGTGGATGATCCATATATGAAAAGTGAGATCATTTCAAAAGCCTCGGGTCCACCTGGGAAGTTATCGGGTAACTTAATTTCGTTTGATTCGGTTAGTTTTCTGTTGAAGTATCCGCTTTTGGAGAATAAAGGATACTGTAAAAAAGATCATGAGAAATGATGTTAAAAACATTTTAGAATATAAAACTTTTGATAATATTTTTTTATCTAATCATGATGTGACATTTAATAAATTGATTATCTTTTTGTTATGAGGACCACCAATTTCCTAACTAGTCGAATAATTTTTTTTTTTAAATGGTAGACACCACAAAAAGCTTTGAAAGTTAAAAAAGAAAATAAAAGTTATATTTCGCAATAAAATTGCAAAATCGTTCGTCATTTAACAAAGAAAAAGAAATAAATTAATTTTTTTTCTCAGCATTTTGTAGTAAAAAGTAATTTTGTGAATTTTTGCAATCTCACAAATGACCCACTAAAACCTTAAAAAAATAAATCATTTTTTTTCGCGATAAAATTACAAAATTGTTCATATTTTGCAAAAAAGATTGAAGCTTTTTTTGCAGCCTTTTATCGATAAAAAGTAATTTTACAATTCTTTCGTAATTTCACAATTGACTTGTTGTAATTTTATTGCGAAAATATGAGCAATTTTTGTAATCATGCATGTTTATGTTTATGATTATGATGAATATTTTTTATCCAACTTACCTTGTGAAGATTGAAGATTCTGTTAGCAACATGGACACAAACTGAAGCGGGTAAACCTGTTTCTTGACTCCTGATTCACAAACATGAAAAGGGTATGATTGAATTCAATTTAAAAAATAGATAAAGTTGTGATTTTTTGGAATATAATTTGATTACTCACCATGAAATGATCTTGATCTTTAGAAGAGCAGTGACATTTGGAGAAGACAAAGGACTTGAAAGTATGGAAGCAGAAAGAGAAGTAGAACCAGAAGCATTCATTTGTGAGTATGCAAACCTTACAAACAAACTCAGAATTTAACCATCTTTTTTGAGTCTTTTAATGATTATAATTGCTTGATCCGGATTTTCTGATGTTATAAAAATGGAAATGGTACGGTGTTATTAGTTCTAGATTAATCCAGAAAACCAGATGATTTTAAAATGGATTTCAGCCGTTGGATGAGGGGGATTGTGTTGGTCAAAGTAGAATGCACACGTGTGTTAGTAGAAGAAATGGTGATTTTTTTAAGGTTTCGAAGTTTGTTTCTTGAATTTTGGGAAGGTTGAAAATGTGATCAAAGGGTGTTAATCTTAGCCTTTTTAAACTTCTCACATGTGACGTTTTTGACAATCTATACACTTTTTGTGTCCCAATTCACCTACAAACCCCTCCAACTTGCTTTCTTTTGTTTTTATATTAGAGACTATTTTTTTTTTTTGCCTATTTAAAAATATAAATGAAAAGTTAGTTGTTATTGCTAAATTGATAAATTAGTTACGACATGTCAAACACAATTTTTAGGGGTTGTTCGTTTTTTTTAAGATCTACGTAACCACTTTTGTCTGCGTAGTGTAGATATATGTCATTGCAGAGCGTTTATTTTTTGGAAGTGTGCAGATCAAAAAACGTATGCGCGGGGTCTTTCTGACGTAGACATTGACTACTGTCTTCAAAGGTTTTCAGACTCATTTTAACTTTAAAAAAAAGGCCACCGGTTTTTTTTTCTTTCTCTTTTTACTGAAAATGCATTTTTAATGTTTATGACTTGAAATTAAGTTTGAAAAATTAATTTATTTCAACAGCTTCAGACGTTAAAAACAAATCATCTTCTTATTGCAGACTGCAGACATTTGATCCACCTCTTCTGCTGTAGAGGCTTGCAGATATGGTTCGTAGGCTGCAGATATTTTGACTTAAAAAAACAAACACCAACTAAGTCTTATTTATTGGATAAATGAGTAATGATGTTAGTCTTAATAAAATTTTATGTACAAAATGTACGTTTTTATTGTAGACCAAATAAACCATTCTCTTTCATTATAAATATAACAACAATAATCATCAATATTAGCATGAGATGAGTTGGAAGGAAAGAAAAACAAATAAGTAAAAACTTAAAATCGTGAAATATAAGTCAATGTTATTTATTTATTTTGTTTGTTTGTTTAAGTCATTGTGTACTGATTAAGAAAAAAAAAACATTCACGTATAACTGTTTATATTAAAAGTTTAATATATTAAACTTATATTAAGTAACAAAACATGTAACAATTAATAAGTTGTGTTAATTTTTTAACTTTATGCAAAACTCCTTTAAAAAAATTCCTCACTTGTTTGGTGATTTTAATTTGTGAAATTTATTATTTAAAATTAAAATGAAGTGTGAAAGAAAGGAGATGAAGTGAATATGAAGTCTTTCGTGTGGATTGTAGCATAAGTTAACAACCAGGACGGCACGGCTCCTGAAATCCTCCTCTGACTTTTTAATTCCTTATTCTTTGCGTTGTTTCCTCCCACACTACTCAATCCCCACAAATTCTATAGAAAATTTAATTTATTATAGAGTAAATTACACTTTTAGTCCCTATAGTATAATGGTTGTTATGAGTTTAGTCCGATTTTTATTTTTATGTTTTTCCATGGTAATATTTTGTCATGCTTTTGGTCACTAACCCTTGCACTCGAGGTGTAAGTGAGACAAGTCAACTCGCGAGAAACTCGAGACCAACTCGAAAAATACTCGAAATCGACTCAATCTTAATCGAGCCGAGCTCGAGCTTGAGCTACTCGAGTACCTTATCGAGCCGAGCTCGAGTACAAAAATACTCAGCTCGTAAGGCTCGCGAGCTTAGTCGAGCTTAGTGTAACTTACATATATGTTATTTCTTTATAATTGTTCATTTATAGCATATATGTCATGTCTTTATAATTATTTATTTATGACATATATGGTTGATGTTATATTGATATTAAGTTATTAATAGTGGTTTTTTGGTAGTATAAACATTTACATGTGGAATGTTTAATATTTCTTACTCAATTTAGTGATTTTTTTTTTTTTTTTTTTTAAATATTAGTCGAGCCGAGCCGAGTCGAGCTCGAGCTTAAAATCAATGCTCGAGTCGAGTTTGAGCCGAGTTTCGAGCTCGAGTATTTTAGTCGAACCAAGCTTCGAGCTTGATAGTATTCGGCTCGACTCGGCTCGTTTACACCCATACGTTGCACCATGTACTTTCAAATCATTAAGTACATATAAAATAACCATGTCGCCCTTTTTGTTGCATTTTTTATCCCTATGGTATTGGTTTGTCAAGTTTTTACGCCACATAATTTCAGTTAAATATATGTAAAATGACTATTTTTTCTGATCTTTGTATGCAATTTTTTGTTGCTTATGTTATCCATGTGTTACCATTTTGTCATGTTTTTTATCCCCACCCTCACATCACACCATGTAGTTTGGAAAGAAAATGCATGTAAAATGACTATTTTGCCCTCATTTCCATCCCACATTTCTTGCCTTTTTTTCATCATTTTGCGATGGTAAGATTCTAGTTAAATACATATAAGATGACTATTTTGTCCAATGTCATTTATATACCTAGATTTTGTTTGCACTTTTATCCAAGTGATATCCCACTTTTTCATTGCCTTTTGTCTATAATCCTCACGCCCAACCAAACCGTTTAATGCATGTAAACAAATTATTTTGTCCTCATTTCATACTCACTTTCGTTTGCAATTTTATCCCCATCTCACCATTTTCTCACACTTTTGATCCCTAAACCTCACACTTGCATTTTTCTCCATGGTGTTGTACCACTTTTCACACTTTCACCTCATGCAACTTCATATAAAATAACTATTTTGCTCTTTATTATATAAACATTTTTTTTAATAAAACACACAAAAATATGCTATAAACTTTTATAAGAATCAAAAGCACTTGAAACTTGAATGAATACAAGTACAAACCCTAGCTTTATAAGCCCTAATTTCTAATAAAATCCTTACATTCATGAATCGACCTCAAACCATTCGAAACCCTTCTTTCTCACGAACATAAAACAACTAATCGGATGTGAATCCAATACAAAAAATAAAAAAAATAAAAGAACACACGATATTATACATAATATATACACAACATAACAACATATATATATATATATATAACAGGAAAAGGTATAAACTGTATCCCAACAGACAGTCTCTGTCACATCAAACACTACAATCACTCTCTTCACTATTAGCCTCCATAAGAAACGGATCCTTAAGAAGATCGGAGGCGGAGGGTCTAACCCGTGGTTGACCAATGCATCTTTCAATGAATGATTTTAGTTCAAGATCGGTTACTTTGTTAAATGCTTGAGGCATTACTCCACTTGTTACCTTTCTGTATATTTTAGCAATACTGTCGCATTCGCTATAAGGTATTTCCATTGTGGCCATTTCTAGAAGACACATGCCAAATGAGTAAATGTCAACTAATTCGTTGTAGTCTTCTTCATAAAGCTCAGGAGCCATGTACTCGGGTGTTCCTAGTAGTGTATGGGCGTTGTGGTTTTTTCCTACTACTGCTGCTAAACCTAGGTCACCGATTTTGACCTGAAAGTTTGTGTATGTATGTGAATATATGTATGTGTATGTGTATACATGAGTATTTTTGTGTACGTATATACATATATGTATTGGTATTTGTATGTGTGTATGTATTTATATGTGTACATGTATATTTGTATGTGTATTTATATGTGTACATGCATATTTGTATGTGTATGTATCAATGTGTATATTTGTATATATGTATGTGTATCAAAGTATGTATATGGATGTGTATATAAGGAAGTATATGTATGTATCATGTATGTGTATGTTGTATATGTATATATGATTAGGTATGTATGTATCTATATATGTAAGAAATATGTGGAGTCCTTGGTTTACTTCCAAAAGAGTTATTATGGAGAAAGAAAACTCCAACATATATGCATGACTATGGGTGTAAACATATGTAAATTTACATATGTGTAAATGTATGAGTCTCTTATGCATGTATGCATGTATATATCTATGTAGAACATATAAGCGATACTTTTATAATTATCCTTTAAAAATGTGGCTAATCATTCCCTGATGCTTGGTTTTATAGTAGTGATCATGAAAATATTTTTTCTTCCTTCTGTAAGCCAAAAAGAAAAGAGAAATGAATCTTTATAGCTATTGGTTCATAATATATATCACAAGCAAGTACTTTAGCAAAAAGTAAACTAATTCTTTTATTATTATTATTATTATTATCATTATTCTATCACTAACAAATGGCATATGTTATTCAGTCTCACATTTCCATTAATTTCATTTCTAATGATGATCATGCTTAACACAAAATTAATGATGAACACACTTTCCGTCCCACGAAGAACTTTTGACCAAAAAAGCAAGTCATGTGCTAAATTATTATAATCCTTCATAATGTCATTAATTAAAGAAGAATTTACAGATCACCCATTTGATGTTAGACTTGTATTATTAATTCCGGTTAATGCTAGTTTATGGAGTTTAGATGCATCATATTATCATATATTCATATACCAAACTTAAAATGATCAGCTCCAATGATTTAACAATGCTTGAGATAAAAGAAAGTACTTACCTTTCCAATGTTTCCATTGATGAAGATGTTACTGCAATTAAGATCTCTATGAATGATACATGGCTCATGATTATGAAGATACTCCAAGCCTCTCAAAATCTGTCTTGACCAATTCTTCAATGCCTTCAATGAAACCCGTCTATGTTTCTTCCTGTAATCCCTTAAATTACCTGAAGCACATGCCTCTGTGATGAAATTCAAGGTGCTGTTTTTAGTATCCCTCCAGAAACTGTAAAGAACAATGATGTTTTCATTCTCTAATGTCTGTAACAGTTTGATTTCTGAAAACAGTCTCTTGAGAACAGATGGATCTCCACCGAAGCTTCTTAGTTTTACTTGGTTCCATGCCACATCCCTTCCTTCTTCTTGATCAAATCCCCTGTACACCTTCTTTACTGCACCAGCTCCTAACAGATCACTGTATCTCCCAAATCTTCCTGATGGATCAACCTCAACGAACAGTTCTCTGTCTTGATCAGATGTCTCAGGATCTGCAGTTGGCATTGTTCGGAAATTTTTTCTCTGAACCTGTGATTTCAAACAGAATTCGCCATATTTAGCTAAAAGTTCAAACACCGTGGTTTTTTCCAAAGCTGATTAAAGAGATTGAACAGGCGTAATTGAATCTCGTAAGTCGTATCATCTACAAATTATCGACTCTAGCATTGTGAATTAAGCAAAATTAGTAATGATCCAATACAAACACGAATCATATACAGTTAGTGTATTCATGAATTCAACATGAACAATAGTTAAACCTCTTCACCAACAACGTAATCAACACCTTACTCGAACATTTGACATGAATTATCGATTGATCGTTACACAAAGAGTCCTCGAGTATGATCACCGTTTACGCAAATCCATTGTCAGCACTCAATCAAAGTGAATGAGTACAAAATTCAATCGAAACATCGAAATTCTAAGACCTAATTGAATGTATTCAGTGATATAATTACATCGCATCAAACTTTAGGGATTCGAGATTAGTCGTGGGAGAAAAGCAAATAATGATCATAAGAAGAGGAAGAAGAAACAACTGAAAAAATAACCTGTAAAACTGATAGTTAATTACCTCGACGAATGCAGAATCAACTAGAAGTTCTTCAAGATCTTCGATTTCTGTAAGTGTTCCAGAGATTACGCGAACATGAGAGAAGGATGAATGGTTAACCGGCCATGGCTATATATGGGATTGCTTAACGAGGAGAACTACAGAGGTGCACGAGAAGATTATGTGCATTGACGTAGTGTAGTATTTTTTTAATAATATGACGTCGTTTTGGAATAAAATCTAAAGATAAGCTTTGAACGTTTTTCTAAACAATATGGTGAGTCAAAAAATATAATGATGTTTGAAAATAGAAATTTATTTTGATTTTTAGAAAACGGTAAACTAGAATGAAATTAAATATTATTATCTTTTACTATCAATATAATAAAAAAAGGGGTTTTGTTTTGTATTAAATATTAATAATAAAATTACACTTATGTTTAAATTCCATACTTCTGTTACATTGAAATCACAAAATTCCAACTAATCTTTTCTTTAGGTGTCAATATAAGAATTCAATGAAAAAAGCAAAGCAAAATTCATGTGACACCCGTGCACACCATCCCACTTGAACACACTAATAATAACTTCCATGGTTTTGTTGTTGGCTAAAAAAGTGCTCCCAACAATACATTGAATCAAAATATCAACGAATCACACTAAAAACGACACCTCCCCCTCATATGCAAAATGTGACAATCTTGAGTTAATTGATATTTACACAAGTATCAAAAAAGATTTGGAGTTAGCAAGATATTTATTACGAACTTATGTAAGCTAGTTTGTGATAGAGGTGAACATAGACATATATTTGTCTTAATTGTTTGGAACTCGAACCGTTTGTTTTTGAAACTTTGAAACCGAAATTGATTTAAATGGAACTGTTTCTAATTAAGTTTCATAAAATGCAATCATTAAAAACCATAAAACCAACCGTCTTCTTTATATATATTAAAAGAGAAACCTGATAATATCATTTTCCACAATCAGTGTAATTTATTATGTTTTCTTGATTAATATAAACATTTGATCATTTTGATGATGTCATCCTAAAATAAAATAATTATTAACTAAATTTGAAAGCTTGACCAACTGATTTAATATTAACGTCATTTATAAAAGGAATATATATTCAACATATTTAAATCTTATCATAGTTTTTGAAACTAAATTTCGTTCATTCTTAATTAAAATTAAGTTCTTAGTTGGCACTATTTATATATTCTTTCAATTCAATCTATTATATGAAACGTATCTACAAGATTACAGGATATTATTGCTCAATTTCAAAAAATCAAAGAATTCAAAATTTGATATCATTTTCATAATCGTTGTTGAAAGTTATGTATAAATCATGTGTTGTTGTTCGTACATTATGTTTTCTTCAAACCCTTTGCAACATCATGTTCAAACAACATCAGACTTTGTAGCATCATGTTCATCATTCAGGTTTCTTCTTTAGAATGATGTTCTTAATTTTTATTAATTGTATTCAATTTTTTTATTCTCATCAGTGTTGTATTTAAATGTGATTTTTTAATGCAAGAATAATCTTTGATTATAAATATTAATATTAAATTTTCAATCTTTTAATTTTGTCTTTTTAACCTTGCATTTGATATTGCATTCTACATATTTGATAATATGCCTATGAGAAAAGTACAATGACTTTTGATTAACTGTATTTGTATGTATGTATGTGCGTCTTACGTAATTAAATTTTTCTGAGATTGTTTGGATTGCACGGTAAATAAGAATTGAAGACTACCATTTACCCTTCAATGTTTTTAGTTGTCAATATTATACTTGATTAATTTCAACAAATAGGGTCATTCATTGTGTTTCATTGATTAATTTCAACACTTTGATCATTTTGATGTTGTAATACTAAAATAAAATAAAATAAAATTAATATTGACTAAATTTGAAAGTTTGATTAACTGATTTAGTGTTAACGTCATTCATAAAAGGAATATATTCAATTTATTTAAACCTCATCATAATTTTTGAAAGTAAATTTTGTTCATTTCTAATTAAAACCATGTCACCTTTCATATATCCTTTCAATTAACATCTATTATATGAGACGAATCTACAAGATTACGAGATATCGTAACTCAATTTCAAAGAATCAAAGAATTCGAAATTTGACACCCTTTCCATAATCATTGTTGAAAGTGATGTATAAATCATGTGTTGTTGTTCGTACATTATGTCTTCTTCAGAGCATTTGCAGCACCACGCTCGAACAACATCACCCTTTGCAACATTACGTTTGTCATCCATGTTTCTTCTTTAATATAATGTTCTTAATTTTTAGTTATTGTATTCAATTTTTTTTTTATTCTCATAAGTGTAGTATTTGACTCTGATCTTTGAATACATGAATAATCTTGATTATAAATGTTGGTATTAGTTATTCAATCTTTTATTTTATTTTTTCTTTCTAACCTTGCATTTGATGTTGCACTCTACATGTTTGATAAAATGCCCATAAGAAAAACATATTAACTTTTGATTAATTGTATGTATGTATTACGTAATTTAATTTTTCTATGATTGTTTTGATTACACGGTAGTTGTTGATTGAAAACTACCATTTACCATTCAGTGTTTTTAATTATCAATATTATACCGCTATTAATTTGGCATATTTGCTCATAATTCTTGGTTTTTAACACCTTTAGTTAAAAGCAATGTACTTTGACTTTAATCTATAATGTTTTGAATTACAATTTCTAAATTTCTTTTGATTTGTTGTAACTGTGTTCAGTGGGTACAAAGTGCATTGTAATTTCTATTTTGTTTTTAACATATTTAGTTAATAACAATGTGTGTATGTGTTTTTTTTGTTTTTTTTTTTCTAATTTAAAAAAGCTCAAGCTCTTATTTCAGCATTTTTCCCTAATCCGCTCCCATCTTTGAAAGATCATATCTCGATCATGAGAAATCGGAAACCCTATGACTTTATTTGAATACATGAAATAGTTGTAAATATTTAATACTAAAGTTAAATCTATATAACATTTAATATTCCATAAATTATACCCTATGACTTTATTTGAATATATAAAATAGTTATCAATATTTAATGGTGTAAAAAAACAATATATTGGTTGTCAATATAGGTTTAAATTAAGTAACATTATTATGGAATGAACGTCTAATTAGAATGTTTTTGTTTATATAACAATATAATTAAGTAACATTTATAAATAACTGAAAAAACATAGAATAATGACAAATGAAAAATAGAAAAATTCAAAAATATCATATGGAAAAATGAATGAGAAAACGACAAAATGATTCTTATTTATTATGATAGATTTTTATGTTGCTTTATTATTTTTTTTATTGTGTAGGTTTTTTATAACTTTATATGCATTTTTTTATATGTTCTTCCACGTAAAAAAATTTATATGTTGATGGGTTATGCGTTTCCTTTATCAAATTCAAAATTTCCAAAATCGGATTCTGATCGTAACCTACCAATTTAATCGTCATTAATTTCATCTAAGATTTAACCCAAATTAAATTTGTATTTGCCTTATGTAATTTTTTTTAATGATCTCGATTTTCCCTCCAAAAATATTTTAATCATTTATTTTTATGTGTTTATTTATAAAATTTATATTTGTGTTTTCCTTATATACATAATTTTTTTTTATTTTGATAGCTTACGCGTTTCTTTTATCAAATTTAAACTTTCCAAAATCAGATTCAATAGTAATATACAAATTTAATCGTCATTAATTTCGTCAATAATTTCACCCAATTTAAATTTGTATTTTCCATATATAAAACTTTTTAATGATCCCGATTTTTCTCTTCAAAAAGATTTTAAGCCTTTATTTTTAGATAATTTTGCCCCATTATAATTATTATTTTCCTCATATAAAATAATAAAACTTATATATATAATAATAATAAAAATTATTATTATTATTATTATTATTATTATATATATATATATATATATATATATATATATATATATATATATATATATAGATCCGATAAGAAATTTTTTTTGGTAGGAAGGTAAGAAGTTTTTTTTTTCACATATTTTTTTGACGAACAAAAAAAATGAATCACTAGATGATTCATTTGTAAGATGATTCACAGGAAAAAATTCTCAAAAAAACATCTATATGATTCATTTTTAAATAAAGTAAGAAAAAATCCACTTTTATGACAATTTTAGTAAATAACAATAAAATCATTATATAAATGAATAATCGAGATGTTTTTTTGAGAATTTTTTATTGTGAATCATCTTTCAAATGAATCATCTAATGATTCATTTTGTTTGTTTGCGAAAAAAATATGTAGAAAAAAACTTCTTAGCTTCCTACCAAAAATTTCTTTCTTATTTGATCTTGACTCTCTCTCTCTCTCTCTCTCTATATATATATATATATATATATATATATATATATATATATATATATATATATATATATATATATTCGATTTATAAGAAAAAATTAAAACTAAAACAAAGTGATTAAATTTTTATTTTTGTATAACATACCAACCTACTTTCTTTTATATTTCTATAGTAACAATACAATTTATAAATTTACATAAAAAATATACATATTTTGAATTTTGTCATAAGATTATACTTTACAAAACACAATTCCCTCCAAAATAATATTCGTCAGTACTTTCATCGATAACTCACCCAATCTAAATTTGTATTTTCCTTATATATATATTTTTTTAATGATGCTGATTTTTCCCTCCAAAAATATTTCAAGTATTTATTTCTTAGATAATGTTTTCTCATTATAATTATTGTTTTCCACATATAAAATAATTAAACTTGCCTATATATTTATATTTAACTTTTATGAATAACATTATAACTAAAATAAAGTGATGATTCATCTTTCTCAAGAAAAAAAAAAAAGCTAAAAGTATTGTCCCTATTATTTTACTCATCAATCTTTCATCAAATTGTACTAATGCAACTATCTATTATTTTGAACGTACTCATATGTGACGAGAAATGTCGTTCAACTAATAAAAAAAAATGGTGTCTACAAAGAGGTCTTTCAACAATTATAGATATTTATCGATATCAATATATCTTCTATACATCTCAACAATAATAATAACCATAATTTTTTTTAATAATTATTATTCAATATCTGTAGATATTTGTATGTTTTTTATGCGTTTTCCCGTGTTTAACGCGGTTTTATAATCTAGTTATCAATTCAAAAGCATTTGTAGGGATGTCAAAAAGTCCCGTGGGATCCCGTTCCCGTGGGGGCCCCGTCCCGTTTGGGGATTTAAAAAAAAAACAAGGGTGGGGATGGGGGCGGGGGCAAGGTTAACCCCCGTTTTAATTTTGGGAGCGGGGGCGGGGGTAGGCAATCTGGTCCCGAAATCCCCATGGGGACCCCATTAATAAATTACACATATATTTACATATATTAATTATATAAATATAATAAACTATAACATGATTTTGAGTTTCCAAAATTTATCAAAAAATATATTTTTAAGCTGTTAATATAATTTTTTAAAATGCCATAACTTTATTATTTTTAACATATAAAATTTTGTTATAAATAATTATTTGTTACCTAAAAAATAATTTATTTTAGCGTAAATAACAACTTCTTTTAACCCAAAAAAAGTAGCCCAAAATCAATCGAGGGCGGGGGAACGGGGGCGGGGCGGGGGCAATAAAGGGGATTCGGGGGCGGGGGAGGGGGTAGGAACATTGAACATTCCGGGGGCGGGGGCGGGGGCGGAGGGACAGGGAAATTTCGGGGATGGGGCGGGAGATGCACTCCCCGCCCCGTTTGCCCCCGTTGACATCCCTAAGCATTTGTGAGTGTTTACCAATAAGTATTATTGATTCACAGACATAACAAATTGAAATTTAAAATTATCCTTTTAAGGGGATTTTATAATATGTATCCTAAGGGCAAATATAAGAAGTATTAATTATAAAAAATATTATCATAATTAAATGTGAAATGCATTAATTATGGAGATTATTAATGAATTTTATATTTAATTATAGTAATATTTCTTATAGTTAATGTGTTTAACGTAACAATTATGACTAATTAATGCTTTTTATATGTGACCTTAAGGCACATATTAGAATATCCCTTTTAGTATTATTCTCACATTAAAAATACTTGTATTTTTTGGCAACTTTGTTTCTATCTTAAATATGAAACTGTATAAAAAAGGAAACTTTTAAAAGCCAATCATGATGTTGTAACCATTAATTATTTAGATATTGTTGATGCTTTACGTATACAATTAGATACAATTAGGAATAATACTAGTAATCAAACATCTAATGGCATGATTATTTAGATATCGTTTATAACAAATTGAAAATTAAATTTTTTATTTAACATTAATCCATGATTATATGTTGCTTGGTCTCTCAGATAATCCAAAACAAATGAGTCGTAAAACATCTACAATGAAAGATTATTTTATAGCTTATATCTATTTCAATTAATCTGTGTTGATGTTAATACCATTAGAATGAAGAGTTTTCTTTTATCCTCAACATCTGAATCTTATATTGTGTTATCCCCATCTCAGTATCATTTTCATTTGGCCCCTTCATCCTATTTTAAATTTTATTATATTTGACTAATTAATCTATTTTGTTAAACATATAATATAAAATTGAATATTTTTTATTGCTTTTTGAGAACTACATAGTTGATCAACATCAAATATAACTTGCGTTTGAAAAAGATAACTTAGATTAGAGGCATATATAAAATATCTAAAATAGGTGGGTCTACATATATAATTATTTTAAAAAATAAATAAAACTTGTGCATTGAAGATGATATTTAGAGATAGGGTTTCCTTAAATAAAGTTAGTAGATATGGAAAAAATAACAGGCTATAAAAAAGGGTTAACCATCCAAATTAAAATAATCACTAAACTCTATAACACCCCCCCCCCCCCCCCAAACAAAACAAAAAAAAAAAAAAAAAACCCGATCATGGCTACTTCCTTTGTGAAAGTCTTCCCAACTAGAAAATGTGATACATATCAGAGACCTCTATTATCACACAAGTGGTTACAAAGTCCATTTGGGTTTTAAATTTAATCTTATATGTGGGCATGTGATCATTACAAGAAATACAATAAACAAATAGGAAGAAAAAAGAAAGGTGCATAGGATTCGTCTTTAAGTAAAAGCAAGAAAGAAAGAAATGTAATCTTAAAACACATTTCCATCATATCTTGAAGCAACTGTGAATACGAAAATAAGAAACCTTTTTTTTTGCTCATTTGAATGAACCCATGTGGAGTCATGTGATATTGTGAACCTTTTTTTGGTGAACGTTTCTTGTAGAAATGCACTACGTAGACTACTGTTTAAGCATAGAAATTGTGATCCCAACTTCGCTTTTGTTAACGCCTTAGTGAACATATATATGTATAATTCTTGGTATAAAGGATCTCTCCAAGTAACAGTGTATTATTACTTGCTAATTCCATGATAAAAATAAATGATATCTTAATATGAATGTGTTTTGTCCTACTTGTATTGTGATTGTCACAATAAAGAGTAAAGAGCCTTGCATACCCAATTCTTGTTTCATGCCCAAATAAATAGGAAGTTATTGGGGCATGTTTCTTATTAATAAATAAAAAACTAAATAAAATAAAACCAATAATTAATGAAATGAATGTTATCTTAGAAAATAAATTTTAATAAAATAATTTGTATATAAACATATTTCATTTCATTCGGAATAAATATTAAGTATTTTGCAAATATTTAAAAATATATCTAGACCTAAAATAAACTACAAAATAAAAAGAGCTAGATACCATAACATATTAAATTATAATTATGATAAATTATATTTTATTTTAAAAAGATTAACTACTATTAAAAATTATATGAATAAAAGTAACTTATAGTTATATATGAAAAAAATTACAAAAATGGTCTTTGTGATATGACATAATAGACATCTATAACCTAACTTCAATAAAATAGACAAACTTAGTCCTTATTTGGATATTACAAACTTTGTCCCTCAATTAGACGGCGTGAGTCACTTGTCGTTATTATTTGGATATTACAAACTTGTTCCCTTTGTCAGACCGCAGTCATCTGCCGTTTAATGTCCATCACGTGCATAGTATGTAAGGGTATTTTCGTCCTTTTATGTAGCTCGTTCAATTAGCCTTATATATATTTTTTGCTCAATTTCACAGGAGAATACATATTTTTACCCATTTTCTTCATCATCATCACATCTTCTCCATCTTCAATTCCAACATTTGGTTGCTGCCAATGCCACTATAACCACCATTATATCTCTCTTGTCAACCCAACCACTTATTCCTTCCTTCTCTTGCTGAAGTCAATCATCACCGCCTATGCCATGAGAGTAAATTATCACCGCCACTACAACCGGAAAAAAGCACCCCAAAGAGTCATTCCAACTAGTAATCAAACAAAGAAGTGAAATCGGAAATCAAACTCTGAAATTCATTCCAACCAAAAAGCAAATTCAAAATTTGATCCTATAAGTCAGATATGTTCAAACCCATAAATGAATAGATATTTTGCCAGATTTTTTGAGAAGGAATCAAATCTACTTCCGACAGAGGCAAGATAAGAATGAAAGAGGGTGATAGACGTGTGAAGGTTGGGGAAAAACGGGGTCTAGGTTTTGTTCTCCAGATACTGCCAAGGCAACGATGATTTTGGTTGCTAATGTTCCAAAAGGATAGGGCTTGGGACTGCTTTCTTTGCATTATCTTTAATCGTTTATGGAAAATCACAAAGGTAAGCAGCAAAATGGGTGAGGTGGAAAATAAAGTGGCAAAAGTATCACCGATGATCCTATATGCTGACTCATGGTATTGATTAGAGAGAGTTGCTAGATATAGCAATTGAGGAGAAAGAATAAGAGATGTGGTGTCTGTGTTGTGTTTCTATTCTTCACGTAAGGCTTTGCCTTCTCCGACGACTTCTTGATTCAATACGTCGATGACGTGCGGCCCGATGAGTTAATTGGTAATGGTGTGATGGGAGATTTTGGAACAAGGAAATGCGTATGAAGGATAAGTACGATAAATAGAGAAGAGGGAAGAGAGTGGATCTCTCGCCAAAAAATTATAGCGGTCATCAGCGACCTATTATCGAAAAAAGGGTTTGGGATAGACAAAAAAGGAGAGATGGAAAAGTTGGGTGGGAATGAAATGTGGAGTGGGGGTGTTTATTTCCTTTTTCTTTTTAATTTAAAAATGATAAATATCACAAAATTAATATAAAATATAAAACGAAGAGAAAATTACAAAAATGATCGATGTGGTATGGCATAATAGGCACATAACTCGTAAAAGGACGAAAACACCCTCCCTTGCTATGCAAGTGATGGGCGGTAAACTGCAAGTCTGACGGAGGGACCAAGTTTATAATATCCAAATAACACAAGGACCAAGTTTGTCCATTTTATTGAAGTTGGACTATAGATGCCTATCATGCCATACCACAATACCACAAGGACCATTTTGTATATATCATTCCATTCCCCGAATCCATGAAAAAAAGGCACTCCTCCCTCGGTGGAATGAAAATCAACCCAGGAAAAGGAAATACATTCCATGGTTAATGGTCAATTCCATTCTTTTAGGCAAGCAAACATGATTTCACATTCCGTAGTAATACTCCATTCCATTCCCTCTTCAATGACTTTAGTAGATAACTACATACCAAAATATAACATCAAGATTTCCTCATTAAACACAAATCATGCTCAAGAGAAATATTAAAAGGGAATCTTAATGTTTCAATCTGATCTTCCCGAAATCAACAAGCTCAAAGAACAATTTAATACATTCTTGAGTAAACCCACATAGCAACCAAATTAGAAAAAGCATATTCAAATACACAACCTTTAAGAACATAAGAGAGAGTGATCATATATCAAACTTATGCAAACTTAAAGACAATCACATGAGACTAAAAGTTGTATATCATTCAACAAAAATCTCAAATCATTGGTCAAAAGTCAAAACAAAAAGTCAAAGATACATATTACCAAGGAGGATTAGAGGCTTCCCCAACAGATGGTGATCTTGAACTCATGCTACCATCTCTTCCTAACCTTGACACACTTCTTCCAGCTTTTGGTGTAGACAAACCAGGGCTTGATCCACGATAACTTGCACGAAGTGATTCATCAACGTTTGAATTTGAAGATTTAGCAATTGCATTTCTCACAAATTTTTGGGCAGCAGGGGAAAGAGTTCGGGCACCTGGACTAGCACTTCCTCCTCTATGCAATGGTGGTTTCTTGAACATCTTAGACCTGTCCCTAAGTTTTCGGGCAGCTTCTCTTGATAAAGAATGAGCTTTTAAGTCTCTTGAAGGTGGAAGTGGGATCTTGAATTGAGGCCCATTACCACTACCACCAATATCAATTGGAGTATCTTCTGGTTCTAATCTCAAAGGGGTTCCTTCAATTTCTCCCCATGTAATGAAAGGGGATTCATCTACACCTGGTGCAGGAGATGGAGTTCTAACAAAGGTATACCCGTTGTCTGATTTCTTGTTGGATTCAACGTAGAATGGATTTGGGGTTTTTCTTAAGTCTTCTAAATCGTATCTTTTGAACTTGTCTCCATCTCTATCTGACATGGACCATTGAACTGGTGTCCCACCTGCTACAGGGTTGTAAAGAACAGACATGGGGTCGTCTTCTTTAGGCTTTGAATCCATCATCTTTCCATGGAAACGTGTGTTTGGTTTGCTGATTTCCTTTGTCATCCCTTTCAATCTTTCAGCCAATTCGTCTTGAGTTAATGGGGCTTCACCTCTATCGGCTGGATGATACATTAATAGATTCTTTGCAGTGTACTTCCAACCTTCTAATGTTGCTAATGGCTGATCAGATGTCCCGTATCCATCTGTGATTCTGTCCTTTTTGGCATCCTCGATCAATGCTGTGTCTCGATTCTCACCTTCCAGTAAAAACGCATACCTTTCTCGTTTCTTTCTGTTAACCTTCTCGATGAGTTTGGAAAAACTATCGTTGTCTTCACTTGTATACTTTCTAAAAAACTCATCAAGTGTTAATGAATCAGCGTCTACAGACCCATCTTCCTTAACAAGTTCCCTAGCGGCATTCAAGAGCTCATCCTTCACAAAACTATCGGTACCAGGAGTCCTATCGAACTCCAACGGAGTCGTATTTCTAAAAAAAGTTGAACCAGGTGTACGAATTTTACCTTCTGTATCCGTAACCGAAACTTTCCCAGAGCGTCTCTCGATAATCTTCAACTGCGCATCACGGATTTGCATAGGATCACCGGTACGAGTAGCTTCCAGCCAATCAAGTCGGTCTCGGAGCTTAGGTATATCCGGGAAGAAGTCCCGCTCGATGATCTTCTCGATCGCAGCAACGTAGGTGTCCTCGTCGAGGACGGTGGAAGAAGCGCGTTTTCTAGGGTTTTTGGGGGTTGTGGTGAGTGAAGCATTGGAGGATCCAACGTTTTGATGAATCGGTGTTTCAGAGACCGAAGGTGACGGAGAAGAGAGCCGACGGGGGGAGTGGCCTGGTGATAGCAACATGATTTAGGGTTTGAGGAGTTTGTGAAATTAGGGCAAATATATTTCTGTAAATTAGGGGTTTGGAGATGGCGATTTGGGCAAACAGGGGTCGAAAAGGTGGAGGTCTTCGGAATCTATAGATCGGCAGAAGAACGCGGTTTTGTATACGGCGGTGGAGGACGGCGATATGGCCAAAAATGCAAAAGAAATCAAATAATGATTGCGTCTGATCCCTTTCTTGATTGAAATCGGTGGTGTTCAGATTTTTAATTCGATTTTATTATTTTAATCCTGAAAAAAGAATGAAGATAAGTATGACAGCTGTGGGATTTGAACCCACGCCCTTTCGGACCAGAGCCTAAATCTGGCGCCTTAGACCACTCGGCCAAACTGTCTTGTTGAATATATACGTGACTTAAGGAATGAAGTAATTAATATTTGTTGTTTTTCACATACCCCCTGTCATGATAAGTAACTTTGACACTGTTAAATAATATATATAATATAAAAGCTCAGCAGATTTGTGGTTATTGGATTATTGGAGATTGACCACAAAATTTTTTTTATTCGTCTCCTTCGGTTCTTCGAATTTAAAAATTTATACCAACTGCTATAATTTAAATATTTAATTTTAATATAAAAAGCATAATAATGAAATATCATTTTGTGGCATCACTTTCCAAATTTTTACACTTTTAATCTCTTAGTAACTTTTGTTGACCTTCATTTTACCACACCACTTTCCAAATTTTTACACTTTTAGGTAGTGTTTGTTTTTTGTCTGCAGATCTGCGAGACGTCTTCTGTCTGCGCCGCGCAGACCACGCGCAGACATTAGTCTTCGCAGACTGTTTGTTTTTTTGAAGACTGCAGACCTAAAAATGTCTGCGCGCCCTCTTCTTGGCGCAGATGTGGACCAGAATCTTCTAACATCTTCAGACATCTTCTAGCTTAAAAAAACATATATATCTTTATTTTTTTTAAGTTTTTTTTTTAATTTATATTTTTTCCAACTTTATTAATGATAAACAATATGAAAAAAAAATTACAAAACTTAAAAAAAAACATTTGACGATACAAACATGATATTTTTAACAAATTTATAAATAAAAATTTATTATAATAATAGTCGTTGAAGTTGTTTATATAAATATGAAAAAAAAATCATAATATATTCTTATATTTTTTTGCCAAAATTTTGTAAAACTTTATTTAATAGAGTATCATCAATTTCTCGAGAAAATATTTATCGTACGTTTTTAATAGATTTATTTGAAAAAATCGAAGTTTATTTCTATCTATTTATTTATCAAATTCTTTGATCACTAATTATAATGTTTAGTTATAACTTTGCAATCAAAGTTGGTTTTTATCAAATATGTATATGAATTAATACCATTTTTATTTTTATTTTTTATATAATAATACATAAAAGTTGATCTAGATTCGTTATATATTTATAATAAAATCGTAAAAATATATAAAAAATTCGCTTTGAAGTTTTAAAAAATCAGTTTATTTAGATTTCAGTTTATTTTAATAGCCCGCAGATGTTAAAAAAACAAACAGTCTTCTTTTTTCAGACTGCAGACGTTTGGTCCACCTCTTCTACTGCAGAGGTCTACAGATGTGGTCCGCAGACTGCAGACATTTTGCTTCAGAAAAAACAAACAGCACCTTAATCTTTTATTAGTTGCATTCTAAAAAACACAATCTTTCTATGACTTATGACTTTTTTTTTTCACTCGTGTGTATAATAGATAAAGAACAATATTATGTATTTCCTTTCATGTCTAACTTGTTTTCATATGATCTATAAATAAATTGTTAACATTAAGTGGAGGTTGTGAAAGGGGGTCTAGTCTCTCGACACAGCTTTAAGTGGAGTTCTAAGTATCTCCGACAAAATACAGATATTTATAAAACAAATGAATGACAATCAACAATTCTCCGAATGATTCAAATATCAATGTGACTATCTAAGAAATAATATTGAGGTTGTTGATTAAGGGGGGGACTATAAACCTCACTAGGTTAGATACAGGAAGAAGGATTGATAAAAAAAAATTGTCAAGTGGGTCCATTTTGACCGTATAGAATGATATTGTCCTTCATAAAGTGAATCTTCGAGTGGGGAAATTAGATTTGATAGATTACCAACGAGAAGAAACCTTGACCAACATAGTATTTATATTTTGAGTACTTTATGCCCCATTTGCAATTTGGAAGCAGCGCAATTAGATCACTTGTTCAATAGATGGGTGACTCCAGAACTTGGAGTATAATTTTCAAATGGTTAGAAATTCACGTCAATTCTTTTGATTGTATTAATGCTTTATTTGATCGAATGGGTGCGTTCAAAAGCAGTGTAATTAAGAGAAGAGTGATAGTCGCGGTGGTTAACACTACTTTTTGGTTCCTTTGGAGGTTTCGCAATGACGTCATTTATAAGGATTGTAAGATAAGGAAATATATTATTTTTAACTCTATTAGAGAGTTTTCCTTTATCTGGATTAGCAATAGATCTAGACAATTCTTTGATAATTGGAATTGATGGTTACAATTCCCTCTAAACAACTTGTAAATCTCTTTTTGTCTCTAGTATTTTAAAACATCTTAAAAATACGGCTCCAAAATTTCGTTTTTAAATCATTAATAAAACCATAAATATCATCATCATATAAAAGTCATAAACCATGTATCTCAAAAATGTTATAACAACTGTCAATATATCAAAACCTCATATCAAATATTAGAGTAAATATCACAAGCTAGAAACGGTGGTGTGTGTCATGCGATCATCCCGAGTCCTTCCTTTTGCTAGCGAAAGTACCTGAAATCAAAACTAAAAACTGTAAGCACGAAGCTTAGTGAGATCCCCCTAAACTACCATATACCATACACATAACATATAACATAAACTTTGGGGCTCCGCCCAACTGAATCGGGATGAACCCGACATCGGGCTTACCCCAACATCAGACCACGTTTGGCACAGGGCCTCGCCCGGCATCGGGCTTGCCCCGACATACACACAGCACATCATATATCATAAGCACATAACATAAGCATATAACATTCATCGGGCTTTCCCCGGCATCAGGGCCGAAGTCCGAAATACATAACATATAACATATAAGTTAACATGCATCAGATTGCCCCGACATCGGACCTAGGCCCGAAACACATAACACATAACATACATGAATCATTAAGACATCAAGCATGTTGGAATAGTGTCTAAGGCTGTAACTATATTCGGTTGTGCATGGTCCTTTTGGGTTGCCTTCACCATAGCAACTTGAAGGATGATTTGTTAAGAGAGAGTAAATATTATAAGGAATAATATTTAGCTATTTGATTAATATAAGTCATAAATTAATTGGTATTAATTTGGTGACTTAAAGAGATTAATTAAATAAGAGGGTATAAACTGTCAATTGTTTGATAGTTAAGCTTTAGACTGTAAATCCATTAGGGTTGACTTTGGACGGTTTCTAAGAGCTTTAGGATAGCTCAAAATAGTCCATAAGGATATCTATGGAATGGATTTGGATAGCCTTAAGTGAAGATTATCCAATTAGGGTTTAGGGTGAAACCCTTAAGGAGTCTAAAGGTATAAATAGGCCCTTGGGGTGTGGAATTCGTGTACAACTTTTCAGAACCTAAAGCAAGGAACCTCTGGCCGAATTCCATCCCCTCTCCTCTCTCCTAAATCATCTTGCTTGCTATTGGTGTTTGTAAGCCATTAGAGGAGTGACAATTGTGACTCTAGAAGCTCCAAGACAAGAAGATCAACAAGGAACTCAAAGGTATGATTCTAGATCTGTATTAATGTTGTTGTTTAACCTAATTAGCCATTAGAAGTCTTGGATTCAAAAGCATGTTTATTAAAAAAGCCTAGATCCAAGCATTAGGGTTTTGCATGCGCACATAGGAAAGTTCTTATGGCTAAAACCCAACAGTGGTATCAGAGCCTAGATTCTAGATCTGTATTAATGTTGTTGTTTAACCTAATTAGCCATTAGAAGTCTTGGATTCAAAAGCATGTTTATTAGAAAGCCTAGATCCAAGCATTAGGGTTTTGCATGCGCACATAGGAAAGTTCTTATGGCTAAAACCCAACAGTGGTATCAGAGCCTAGATTGGTTTTCTACAAATTGTTGCTTGAATAACTGAAACAAACCTGCAAAATTCGAATTTTTGGGTTTTGAGTCACTGACTCGTCGAGTTCCATGGTGGACTCGTCGAGTAGGCCTGACTCGTCGAGTCCCCTTGTGCACTCGGCGAGTCCAAGCGTCAGAAAGGGCCAGATTCGGGATTTCTTTGTGTTTATCTTATCCAAACTTTCCATAAACTAATTAGATCAATATGAATCCGATTTTTTGATAAATATAAGTGTTATCTTGATCTAGTTAAAGGTAATTATCAACTAATTAAATATTTAGTTTCTTTATATGATAATTAATTAATTGTTTTAATTATTTTTTGGTAATTATCCTCAAAGAAATCAAAGATAAATCAAATAAAGATAATTAAGATATTAATTGTTAATTGAAATTATTTGTTATTTGATCCTCCATGTTTTTAAATGTTTAAAACCTACCCTATAGTTTTGAAATTTATATTTGTGATTAAAAGCATTAATTTAGACAACTTAAATTTCAAACCCCAGATTTTGAAAAGTTTAAAATACAACCCTATACTTATATGATATTATTAGAATAATATATATATGTATAACTAAATGCTAGTCTTACCGCTAGTAGGCCTCATTCACGAAGCCGATCTATAAGGTGGGTATAAGGTTGCGGCCTATAAAATGGCGCTTAATGGGTGTACACTCACACCCACCGCTTGCTTGATTGGTGGAGGGTCGTTAGCCGAACGGGTAGGATAGAGCAACCTCATCCTCTCATTAAAAGTATAATAAGAAATACGAAGTAACTAAACTTTCTTTTAAAAATTTCCCAATCTTAGTTACTTTAGGAAAAGTGAATTGATGCAACCCATGAAATTAC